GGCTCGGGTGGGACCGTAGCCCTCAGCCTGCCGCCAGTCATCTTCCAGGAGAATTCACTTAACCTTTCTACCCTAGTCTGACTATTCCCCGCCCCAGTATCGAAAGCCAACATTCCTCCTAAAAAACCCACCAAAACCAACCCCACTTTTTCTTCTCCTCTCTTATACATAAACAGGCCAAGATAGTCATGAAGTCAGAGCTAAGCCAGATGTAGCAGAAACAAATAACCTGAAATCTAAGGTCAAAAGCTTACAGGAGTTAAGCAATTGATGCACAACAGAAAAATATTACTTGCTGTAACAGTGGAATTCAAACTGAAAACTTAATCATGTATCTCCAGCATTTAGAGATTTAGAAATTTCTCTAAAATTTTACTAGTTGGAGGGGCTCTTTTCATGCCACACATGGGTGTTCTGCCAAAGATCATTTGCTGTCTCCCCTCTCCCCTTGTCCAACTAAATACAGTAGAACAGTGAAATACCGCTTCAGGACTAACGGGTGGCAAGTTGTCTTCATACTTCTATAGCAAAAAGACCCACGAGCCAAAGGCAACAAGCACTAGTACAGAGCACCTGTCTGGATGCGTTCCTGTGGGACCTGCCCTAGACTAGATAGATGGTCCTGCTCTGGCAGGGGGGTTGGACTCAATCTCTGGGGGTCCCTTCCAACCCTAACATTCTGTGATTCTGTGAATAAATGGCTCTTCCAGAAAGCTTTGATCTAGTTCTCAACCATCTCTTGGCCATCTCTATTAGGAGAGGCGTATTCACTGTCTTCCCAAGCAGTATAGAGCAAGTGGCAAAAATTTGGTTTAGATTTCCTTCAGGAGGGAAGCAGCACATAAAGGAACATGCAAAACTAATCAAAAGGAGGAAGCCTACCATGGCTAGGAACAAGTGTGCTTCCTGTCTCACAATGACATCTGGGTTGACATTGAGTTCTAAACATTGTCTTGATGATGCTCCATGTACCCTGGTCTTGATAAATCTGCCTATAGAATCTCTGGCCCAAGGGCAAAGGGGAGGAATTAGGACAACACAGGAAGAACAACCACTACCACCCAAAAGCAGTGTAAGAGAACTCCAGATTTCACTCAAAAGTTGTTTATGATGATAGTAAGAACACTACCTATCAGAAACCATACTGAATACAAAAAAAAGATTTGGTCAGGAATACCAATGGAGCAAGTTATATACAGCATCCTTCTCTTACAGATACTGGCCACAAAAAAAACCAGACAAATATCAGACCAAAGCAGAAAGTTACCTTCCAAAAGCAAAGTGTCAACAAACAGCACTTACCCTTCATTTAGTATGATTGTAGCAGAGTTTTACAGCTTCTCAGTTACCAATTACAGCTGGGCTTCTTAGTCAGCATCATGATAAACACACACTTCACCCAATTGAAATGCAGAAATATTTATTTTGGTTTCCTTCATTGGTTTTGAAAATTGTTTTGGTTTTATAAAACATAGAAATAGCCAACACTAAGCAAACATCTGAATTCCAATGTAACAAACTACTGCTCTAACAGTTGACTCGGATTTGTGTACCTTAATTGCACACGTATGAAATTATGCTACAAGGTAGTGCATTACAATCACACACAAATCTTAGTGCAAACTTTGTTGTGCTTGTATTTTACATATATCCATGTTTTCAAAAAACAGCAATGAATGCTAATGCAAAACCAACTCTGTTAAGGATAGCAAAAGACTTATGCTGTAATAAGGCTTGTCTCTGCTGATTTCTCAACCAAAAGGTAACTAGTTATTTTGTAATTTGTCTGGGAATTAGGTTTTATCCCTGAACCTACCCTCTGCCAACACAGTTCTGTTGGCATATATAAATACTTCCAATTGCTGCAGAGCATTGGGTATAAACCTTCTACCTGACCTATTTTGCTATTTGTTGAAGAATACTCAGTGGCTCATACATGAAGCACAGAAAACCCAGAGGTTATGTCAGAAGCTCTTCTGCTTACAGAGGACCTGGCATGTTTTTAGAAAATGCATTTTAAATACGTGTTCACTACAGGGAAACAAGTGGCTAGTACAAGTGCAGCGTTTACCTGACTGTTAGCATAGCCCAGCCTCCTGAATGGTTTTGGTTTTAGGTCTTTAGTGTTCTTGCCAGAGTTAGGATCTGTTCCCTTACAGGGCTGGCATTACTGGGGACTGGTGTTAATGCAGCAAAGGCCACACTTGCTGAACTAACTGTGTCTGCACTTCTCGTGTGGAACCAAAGGCAGACTTACTCCAAGGAACTGGTATCCAGTCTCCTCTGGGTGGAGTTCTACCTTAGAGTACACCTCAGAACTGGCTGCAGATACAGCAGAGAAAAAAAACACCCAAAACACTCAGATGCCTTGCCCCAGTTAATATTAGGACAAAGGTAAGATGTGATACCAGCTATACAACTGTAAGGGTTTGGGGGCTTTTTTTTTGGTGGTTGACTTTGAGAGAGATTAAGTAGTCCTTCTGAGGATGCAAGATACTTAACAGACATTTTCAAACCTGCCAAATCCGTTGTGGAATTGACAACTGCAAAATACACTGCAGACAGCAAACATGCTGGCAATAAGAAAACCTTAGCTCCTTGGTGAAGGAGACTCACATTTTTGGCCAAGGAAGTCTTAAATAACTTACATATAGTTACCATTTATAGTTAAGGCTCTTTTTGGAAATTGTAGGTCACCATAAAAACAGTATGCAACACAACTTGACAGTAAGGCAGTGTTCCATTTCTTCAATGTTCCTATGGCAAGTACCCATTTTTGTACAAGTTAATGATTGCAGATTGCACAGTTTCCTTCCCTATGTTTGCTGTAGTCAAATTACAGATATGAAGGCCAACAGTGGACAGACGTGTGCCACTTTCCTCATTCGAGTCTCGGTTACATTTTGGCATTAGCATAGAGTTCATCTATCTGTGACTGGAAACATTTCCGCAGCTCCGGTCTCTTCGCCTTCAGCGTTGGTGTCAGCAGGCCGTTTTCAATAGAAAACATTTCAGTGTGCAAGAAAATGTCTTTGACCTGCAAAGTAAACAGTTATTAGCCAAGCTACAGCCCTTGAAGACATGCCTGCTAGAACATTGCCCAGACATTATAACCAAGCCCATCACTTTAAAAATTTTCCAGAGGCAGATTAAGAGCAGTTTCTGCAGAGTCAGATTATGTTGGTGTTGAGAAGTTTAAAGAATTAGGTGTTCACAAGCATCCTACCTGTTCAAATGACTTCAAACCAGATTCTTTCCCAATCCTCACCATGTCTTCCAGAATGTGTTTTTTGACATCCTATGGATACAAGAATACAATTTTATAGATTGTAAAAGTGGATGCAGAACAGCTAATTGTTCAGTTAAATATGACTCACCTTGTTTTTGCAGAGCTCTTCATACGAGCCTTCAAATCCCTTTTTCTTGGCCCAGCTGCGCAAAGTCTCAGGATCAGGTACCACAATAGCCACTAAGAAAGCCTAGAAAAGGAGGTTTTGTTAAGCTTTGTTTCTTTTCAAGTCAACACTTCAGTCCCTACACATTTCTTAATAGTCAGTGTTAGGTTTCAGACAGCATTTCTGACACTGCTATAAAGTCAGCAGCTTTCTGCTACTTAAAACACAGGAGTGCAGTTCAGAAACTCACACTTACGATGACTCTTGTTAAGACCCACATTTCAATTTACACTTGCAAAAAACTGAACATGTTTGGTTTTTAATTTATTTTCCCTGCACACTGTTAGCAACTTACACAGTCATTAGTACTCAAATTAATCCAGCCCCACTGACTGGTCTGAAATTAAATCCAGAAGCAAGCTATGTAATTGCTGGGAGTCAAAAGTATGTTCAGAATGAAAATGTGTAACTTAAAAAAATATTTCAGTCCCAAAGTTTGAGGGGGGAAGGTGGAGGAGGAAAGCAAGATGCTCTTCTGCACTCTCCTCGTGCATTAATTTTTAAAGTTACCTAAAGAATGCTTACCTGCAAGCTCTCTCCATGGACAAACACCTGAGCAAGTGCTTCACATCTCAGATACACATTTTCTATTTTCTCTGGTGCTATGTACTCTCCCTGGGCTAGTTTAAATATGTGTTTTTTCCGGTCAATGATCTTCAATGTACCATTCTGTTGACAGAAATAACTTCAACTCAGAAGAGGCACTTCAAGTGAAAAGCCAATTTACACAGCCTAAGCATGCCACAGTAAAATACAGTCAAACAGGGCTTGAGCCAGAGTGCTGTCAAACTAATGTCAGAAGAAAACAGGCTCTCAACCCACCTAACCTAAACTAGGGAAAGCCTCAGGATTGGCATTCCCATTACTTTTCAGCTCCAGGCACAGATCTTTCTGCAACAGTAATTATCCTTCTCCTAAAATTACTTGTCTTTCACCTAATATATTGTGTTCATTATTTACTATTTTATTTGTTAAGTTACTGCTGACAGCTGCAGGAGTACATTTCAGCTATATGAAAGTTAACTTACTGGTAGCCATTTCCCAATATCTCCTGTATGAAGCCAGCCATCTTTGTCCAGAGCTTCTGCTGTTTTTTCTGGATCTTTCAAATAGCCACGAAATACATTGGGCCCTTTTACACACACCTGGAAACAGCCATTTGTTAAGGTATGCTACTATGAAGGGAAGTTCACAAACAGTTTACAATGAGTGGTTTCTCCAGTTGTTCTCAAACCCCACTGAAAAGATCAAGTTTATGCATTAGGACAGAAGTCAGTTTATGGTTTTTGGAGACCTAACATCTTCCATTGGTATAACATAAGCAATTGGGAAGCATCTGTTCTCTTCCAGTCTAGCAGCAGCATTCCTACCTGTTAATTGAATAACTTGGATTTATCAGAGGAAGTTTATTTTGGTTATCTCAAATTCTGCTGGATTCAGAAATATTACCCCTCAGCCTGGCAACATGTTTGTTTCAGCTTTGGTAAGCAGCAGAGGCCTTGCACCAAGACTAGTGCTGAAAAATCTGTGTAACAAGCAAATTACATGTTTGGTGTCCAAAAGTAAACTAGTTAATGCCCTAGGGCTTAGAGCACCCAATACTTCTCTATAAAGGAAACCTGCAATTCCTTTAAACCGAAGGTTGTCTGTATTTGTGTGCCAAGTAGAAACCAGAACAACTTCTCTGGATGTAACAGTATGCTCGGGCATTATCAGGATCAAAACCCACACTTACAGGGTATGAGAAAAGGATCAACAAGATTAAAGGTTTATAGGTGAAGAAGTTGCCAGAGAATCAGTTTAGACCTTACAAGCTAAATTAAAGTAACTAGTAGACTATCTGTCAGTAAGATAACAATAGTAAAGGAGCTAGTTGGGAACATGAAGTAGAGGCTGAAGTACCCAGAGATAATCCCAGATTTAAGTATTTTCTTCTCAACATAACACCCAAGGTCATTGCAAGTTTTCTTTGGTGGGGAGAGAGGGGACACAGAATAGGACTCCTGTTATTTAAGGATCACCAGGGCTATAAAACACCTCCTTAGAAATGACAGAGATAGGCAAGATAAACAAGACTGAAACAAAACTTAAAAAGATGTCCACTGCACAACTGTTGGGGAATCAAGAACCCAGAAACCCTGAAAGCTCTACGTAAGAGTTTTCAGAAACAAAGGATTCAAACAATGACACCAGCTTGGGAGTAAGCTTGGCATGCATGGATGACAGGGGACGACATGGTAAGTTGGTTTGGGCAATAACATCAGGACTAGAACAAATCTAGAATAGGTTAGAAAATCCAGTTTCAAGTTTATGCCAAAGGGATAATCAATATCAAAACAGCCTAATAAAATGCTAGGCTAATTAATAGTCATGAGAATTAGTAGAACTATAAAGTGGGCAATGAGCTGGCTAAAGAATATTCAGGCACTAGTATCAGTTCTCAGACTAGAATTTCCTAACGTAGTTCAGAGACCAGTTCTTGAAAAACTCAAGTATTTTCATTGCTTACCTCTGCATAAAATATAAGCATACAATAAAACAAGAGATGTTGATAGAGCAATCAGAGTATCAGTGAGGGTTCTAATGACCTTGTAGAGACAGTAGCAAAAATTCATGACCCAACCAAGGTCATGTTTTAAGAACCAAGTAATGTCTGCTATAAAATGGATTTACATATTAGAAGAAATTCTCCACTATGAGGGTGGTGAGACACTGGAGCAGGTTGCCCAGAGAAGCTGTGGATGCTCCCTCCCTGGAACTGTTCAAGGCCAGGTTGGATGGGTCTTTCAGCTACCTGATCTAGTAGGAGGTGTCCCTGTCCATGACAACGGGTTTGGAACTAGACAATCTTTAAGGTTCCTTCCAACCCCAAATCATTCTATGATCCTGTATGAGTAAAGAACTCTGTCCCAGTCAAGTCAAAGACTGACTGATTAAATGTTTCATTTTTCATGTGTGCTACAGTCACAGGATGGCAGTAGGTGACACCTTTTCCCAGTAGAGACAGCAAACTGTTTATCTGTAACCTAGTAACTGGCATTAAAACCTCATCTGCATATGAGCATATAATTCTATTCACAAATTTATTCTTCTTAAACATGGATAACTGGCAAAAGTGAGTTGAGAACAGAGAATATGAAAGGCCTTATTCTCAAAAAGGAAGACTAGGAGTGTTCAATCCAGCTAAAGAGCAGATACAGTGAAGAGGAAGATGTATTTTAGGCAAAGGATAATGACATCCCATTCTATAGCTATGGGCTTCAGGTTCTGTGAACCAAGTTACACTTGTTAAATTCAGAATAGTTCACACACATCAGCAAGTATCTAATATATTATGGGGCTACCAGATTTATTCATGTCCAAAGTAGCTCCTAACAGAGCAAACTTTCACAGTAAGTGCAAGCAAAACAATTTTAGACTGTATTTTTAAAACTACTTAGCTGTTTCTCATTATAATAATTTATACTCAGTTCCTCTAGCAGACCAAGCTTTAAAAACATATTTGAAGTGAAGCAAAAACCACTGATGAAGACTGAACATGGGATCACATGCAAGAAAATCTTGACATTGCCCTCCATTTGCAAACAGTTTCCCACCACCAAGCCAAATTAAATCCTTAAGTATTTCTGGGAATTAAAGCCCAGTGGCTTGTCTCTAGTATCATACAAATTACAACCAAAACAAAGGGTATATCTTGTATGCAGTCAAATCAGTTACTTGCTTAAGCTCATTTGTCACCCCCCAGCTGCCCCCAGGGTCTCTTCCAGAGCATATGGAAGACACCACAGTTAATTTGCTTTCAGGGCTTGGGGAATACAAAGTATTACATGGATATCTGTTCAAAGTGTGTATCTTGGAAAGAAATATTGAAAAAGACAGCATATAGCATTACAGACAAAGTCAAGTCCTCAAAGTGCAATTTGTAAAACAAATATTAAATTTCTGCAGGCTGCAGAAAAAAGTTCATAAGAATGAGCAAGCAGTTGTTCCAAATCATTAGCAGCCTTCATGGCATTTTATCTCTCTCATAACAGTGTTCCAGACACCATGTTGCTCATCTCTCACATCACAAGCTGGATAACAAGCTACATGCATCAGCTGTTCTCCAGCACTTGGCAGTGGAGGGTGGGGGGAAGCTCTCTGTTAGCATATTACTGAGGGATAGATGCAGTATGAGATAGCTGGCTTCTCAGCTGTCCCACAGCTGGAAAATGGCATTTTGGTCACAACCATAAATACAGAGTGATCTATTATCCTACAAGCTGCTTTCCATCTCCTCCAAGATGCTGTTTTCCGTTTTGCTTCTGTGACTCATTAGCTGACAACCCATGCAGGCAAGGCAGGTGTCCAATACTAGGTAGCAGGCCACATTTAGTGCTTCTAAACTCAGTTACTTCAGGAATAAAAAAAACATTTTCCAAGATTTCACAAGAGGTTTATAGTGACCTTTTAAAATTACTTACCTCACCCTCTCCTCTGGCAGCCAGGTAATTCATTTCTTGTACATCAACAAGCTTGATGATACTGCATGGCATGGGTGCTCCAACATGACCTATTTAATGAGTAACACTTCAATAGCCTGAACTGCTTTTTAGTCAGGTTCTTAGAACAGTAAGGTGGTTACATTCTAAAGTAAAAAAAGATGGAAACCTGGTTTCTGGTTAAGTACTACACCAATGCTAGTACAGTAACAGCTTAAACTTCCTGGGACAGAAACATTAAATTCTCAAATATCCCTGGAATGTTAACATTGAACCATGAACTCAGGCTTGCCTTTTTTCCCCTCCATAAATCAGGATCCTCACTCTGTGGACACACTGAAGTAGCAAAAGTCTCACCACAGTTTTAATTACCAGTATTTCAGTTAGGGTGCTAGAGATATAACAGCTGACAGAAACACAGACTGTTTGTTCCAGCACCAAAAAATGCCATTTACATTTCCATCACTGTATTCATACACAGCAGGTTCCTATCTCGTAAAAGCTACACGGGCTGATAGTATGACCTCTCTCCTAAATGCACTTCAACTTACAAGGACAAAGCCTATTAGAAGTTTTGTTTACAGAACATTCCTAGTATTTAGGGGTAGAAATTTCAATGGATCCCTTCAAAACTTTTACTTGACTTGAAGAAAAACAATCTTATAAGTGCACTGAAGACTGAATGTGATCAGGGACCTCTGTAGCATCCTGAAATTTAACAGGCAGGCAGACCATTAAACACCATACCTGCTGTCCAGTCACCAGGCAGTGACAGTGAGCATCCAGCTGTGCATTCAGTCTGTCCATAACCTTCATAGAACTAGGATGTGAACC